CGAGCTGCTCGTAACTCTACCAAGGTTCAATCGAATTCTTGCAGTGAAGTGGGAAATACTGTTCTGGATGGTGATAGTCTCGAGACAGTTGACTTTTCAACTTTTTCTACTTCTGTCCTATTGGAAAGTATCGCTGCTTGGAATACTGATCCCGTAATTAATAAGATGCTCATCGTACTCAAAAACAAACTTTCTGTTGAAGTCTTTGGTGCAGTGAGTGAAGAAAAACGTGGTCGGAGCCTCGTAATTTCGGGATTGCCCGAGTCGAATGCCAGCATGAAGCCGTCCGAAAAACAAAAAGAATTGGAAAACAAGGTTTGTGACGTGCTTGACATTCTGAAGGTAGAATGTAGGGCTATTGAAACCTACCGAGTGGGGAAGTTTAACGAGCTGCGTCCACGCTTGGTCAAAGTTTTGTTGCCCTCCAAAACACACTGGATTACTGCTTTATCAAACGCTCGTCTCCTGCGCTCTTCGTGTTACTCAGGCGTCTTTGTACGTAAGAGCATGACATTTGAAGAGAGAAAGCATGACTTTGAGCTTCGCCAGGAAGCCAAAAAGCGGAACGCTGAGTCAGGACACAAGGTGTGGGTGGTCTATCGAGGTGAATTGAAAAAAGTTGATGACCTCAAATCTCCCTCACCCTCGTTTCGGACATTTCGTGAAACGGGCAAACCATAAACCAACCGCAAAATTGAGATGTTTTCATAATTATATCACTACATCCTCCTNCACCCGTAATGAAATGCTTCTATATGAATTGCCGTAGCCTGAAAAACAAAATGATAGAGCTCCAAACGTTTCTGTGTTGCTACAAGCCAGATGTAGTCTGCCTGCAGGAAATTTGGCTAAGTGGTTCTATCACCAATGGTCACATAGTTTCTAATCTGCCTTATAGTGTTGTCAGAGAAGATAGACCAACTAAAGGTGGTGGTGTAGCTGTCCTAATACGTGATCGTATCAGTTCTGCCACTTATGACCAGTCCTTTAATGTAGATGGTGCTACATCAATGGTAGTTGACATCTTTTATGGTGCTCACCACTTCCGCCTTATCAATTGTTACAGACCTCCCAATATAAGGGCTGATACATGCAGGCAACTTGTAGACTTCCTCAATTCCGTATTGCTTGATTCTATTTGCCCCGCCATACTTGTTGGTGACTTCAACTTGGATATTTCTTGGTTACCGAACCCATTGCCCAAATGCTCGCGTTCGAAAGAGTATGTCAAATTATTCGAGTCTCATGAACTTACACAGCATGTAGTTTCTCCAACTTGTGGGAGTAAAGTCCTTGATTTAGTCCTCACTAATAGCGGAAACTTCATCACCATGCCTAAACTACTTAATCCTCTGGGCAGCTCTTATCATTCTATTATTTCGTTTTCATTATTTTTGTTGCAAGCCTTTGATCCTGCACCTACTTCTTTCCTTGATTTCGCACGGGCTGATTATAATTCCATGAAACGCTACCTTTCCGAAGTCAATTGGGAGCTATTTTTCGATAACTACAGCGACATTGATGACCTTTATCGACGCTTTTGTGATACAATCACTTCTGTGATTTTTTATCACGTACCAATCACTGATAAACGCCCTAATAGGACTCTCAACTTCCCTACATATATTCAAAATTTGTTGCTATATCGAAATACACTTTTCCATCGTCTAAATGAAAAAGGTATCAAAGAGCGTTACGACAGGGTTTCACAGAAATTGACCAAGCTTAGTGAGAAATATGTAAGAAATCGTGAGAAAGTTTTACTGTCTTCTAAAAATAGTAGACAACTCTACCAGTACGTCAACTCTCGATTGAAGGCGCCTTGCTCTATTCCAGCTTTTGTCAATGACAAAGGTGATACCGTCTACAGTGATTCTGAAAAGGCCGAACTTCTCGCTGATCATTTTTTCTCCGTTTTTACTGTGGATAATGGTATCATCCCTGACACGAAAAGCGGTTCCAAGCACTCATTAAGCTCCTTTTTGATACTACCACAAGACGTTCTGTTACATGCCAAAAGGCTTAAGTCTTCTTGCTCTTGCTCGCAAACTCCTGATGGTATTCCTCAAATCGTTTTCCGAAATTGTGCTAATGAACTTGCTGTACCTTTAGCACACATATTCAACATTTCCTTGCGATTGGGAGCTGTGCCTTCCGTCTGGAGAAGTGCTATCATAACACCGCTCAACAAAAACCCGCA